GTACCCAAGGCAAATACTCATGACAAAAGCTCGGAAGTGTTTCTGGCTATAAACTGCAAATTTGGAAAAAAAAAAAAAAGAAAAAAAAAAAATCTCGAAAGTGCACAAGGCAATAGTGTTTCGTTCCTAGAAACATGTCGGTGTTTTCCTGTGCAGCAAGAATATTATAGTGCCATCGATTCGCTTTGCAGTTTTTTTTTTTTTTTGGGAGATTCCTGGACACTGGAAAATTTTCGTGAATTGCCTTGTGCATTTTCGAGATTTGCGTTTTATAGCTCGTAGTTCTTTGCCAATAGTGCTTCGATTTTAGAAACATGCCTAAGCGTTTTATAGCTCGTAGTGTTTTCCTGAGTAGGGAGGATATTGTACTGCCATAGATTCGCTTTGTAATTATTTTCTATGTGGAGACTGAACCCGGTTTCCAGGAGCCTAAGCGGAGTATGACCTCAGCAAGACCTCAGCAAGTTTGTACCGGGTTGATATGTAGGGSTGTGTTCCCGGGCCCCGGTAGTCTCATTTGGAATGAAAAGGGCTATGTTTCAAAAAAAAAAAAAGTCCTTACTTGGATTATTGATTTTTTTTTTTTTTTTTTTTTAATTTATAAAGGCTAATTCTTTAAACCCGACCAATTCAATTACCTGTCAAATCTGGACAGGACGGCGTTTCAGCCCTTTTTTATTGTCATTATATTATAGTATGTATTACGGGGAACCCCGTAGCAGCCACATCCAACTGTGTTTTTCTTTTCTTTTTAATTATTAGTTCGCGTCTGTAGTTTCCTGGAAGTTCAACCCCTCCCCCGCCGTCTCTCGTCGTATAAGGACCTACCTTCTTCCCCCGAATACAACGTGCGGTCATTATAGCTGTATTTAGACTGAAGGATAGGCCAAATTCAGCTAGAATGACCGTACGTTGTGTTCGGGGGAAGAAGGTAGCTGCACCACTCGTCTAGACTCTAGATGCTTTCGAAATCCCGGCGGGTGGCGAGTGGTGCACCTACCGTAGGCTCTAAGTAGGAGCAGGGAGGGAACTTCAAGGGAGAAACAATGGACACCGCCACCTTCTCTCTGGTATAAGCAGTCGCCATATGACAATAAATAGATGACAAACGGACTTCACGAAGTGCGACAATCACGAAGACTGCGTGCGCGCGACCAGAAGTGCCGTCGTCACTCGGTAGGATGACTTCATATGTCTTGCTCCTTCCTGCTTGGCTTTGCTTGCTTTCTCATCTCCCTCAACTCGGGTTGGAACTGACTCCTGAGCACTGAAGAAAGCCCTCACTCTACCTGTACCAACGAACAAGCCCAAAGAAAGGCACGAATAAATAGACATCACGATAACCCTCTCTCTCTCTCTCTCTCTCTCTCTCTCTCTCTCTCTGAGACTCTCTCTCTCTCTCTCTCTCTCTCTCTCTCTNTCTCTCTCTCTCTCTCTCTCTCTCTCTCTCTCTCTGAGACTCTCTCTCTCTCTCTGTGTGTGTGTGTGTGTGTGTGTGTGTGTGTGTGTGTGTGTGCGCGCGCGCGCGTGCGTGCATGTATGTGCGCGTATTGGGGTAACGCCTACCCCTGCTAGATCCAACCGGCATCATAATGGTCGTCGGACGACCAAAGTCAATGCCAGGCTTATGCGGGAAGGCATAGTGCACGCAGAACTTGGCAGAAGCGCACCCGTCTCTCTCTCTCTCTCTCTCTCTCTCTCTCTCTCTCTCTCTCTCTCTCTCTCTCTCCCCCACGCGTGCTAGATCCAACTCGGGACCGCCGAGTCATGGTGCCGTGTGCAGTTGTACTACCTGCCCCCGCTTCCACACCAACAAATACAAACTGTTTTTCTTTTGGCTTTTTCAATCACTTGACATATGTTTGTTTATGTTGCCCGAACAGATTCTCCACTAGATCCTAGCCGAGAGGCCGAGAAAGGTATGAATTGAAATGCGAGTCCAATTCGAGAGCGCTCTTTGGCCGAGATTCCTTTGTTTTTTCCTGACTGAGATACCACAGCGGCTTTCTCCTCTTTTCCCCCTGGATCGCTGGTTGGCTGGTTGTCAAAAGATGTACTTTCAAATTACCAATTGATTAGCTAAGATCAGGGTTCTTTATCGGGCAGGAGTGGGAAATCAGCCTAATATGAGGGGCATGAAGCAGAAGGCTTAGCTCTCTTCTTTTTTTTTTTTTTTTTTTTTTTGAGGCTTAGCTTCTCTTTTTTTTTTTGAGGCTTAGCTTTTTTTCTGTTTTCTTTTTTTCTTCTTTTTTTTTAAGTCCATGGTGTTGTAGAGGCCAGTCACTGAGTACACAGTGATCCCCTGGAGCAGTAGGCCGTGAGTGTCCTGGAATATGGGACCACCTCCCATCCCATCCTCACGTCAATACTCCTAGCACACCCCCTATCCCACTATCCTACCTCAGTGTGACCAGCACTCAGGACCATTACCCTACCAATGGGCAGGTAACTTGGACCGAACAGCAGTGATAGGCACCAGGGATGATAGGTTGTCCAGCCCTGCTGGAAGCGGAATCGGAAGAGCCTTGTCGAACGGGAACTTGGGACGCCAGGCCCAGACAATCTATTACAGGCCCCAAAAGACTTTGGGCCCTAGGTTTCAGACAGGGTAGCACCCATTGAAGCAGTCTTACCGTCCTTCCCGTAGCTTACCCAAGGCCAGGCGGAACTCAGACTGGCCTGAGCAACTTATACCCCATGGTCTAAGCCTTATATATAGCCACTAGACAGTTCTACCCGAATATCAGTAGGAACTCCTACGGCAGATACTAGACCCCACCCAGTGACTAGACCCCCCCAGTCTGATAGTCGTGTAGTTTGCAATGTATGTGTATATCCGAAGGCTGTGTATGCTTCGTGTATCTATGTATGAAGATGTACAGACAGCACTATGTGTGGAAACTTGTGTATGTAGCCCATAGGCCATGTGTAATTCACAAGCTATGTATATGCCCGAAGGCTGTGTATGCTCTGTGAATCAATGTATCAAGATGTATAGGCAGCATCATGTCTGTATATCGAAGAGAGAACGGGGTAAGCTGGACAAGGACCCCCCCAAGGTCTGAACCAAGCTCGAACCCGTGACCTTGAAACATGTAATCGTACGACTCTACCATGTGAACGACTAGTGCAAATGGCACGAACGTGTGATATGCCAGACTGGGGAGATCAACAGAACACCCAAGACCAACACCCCCAAGCAACCCATGTGAAACCCAGAACCAACATACAACACCATGAACAACCCTTGGGTGGTGTGCAGGCAGTGTCTGTAATAGTACCATGTGTCAGCCCAAGGTAGTGTATGTCCAGCCATGCTTCAATCTAACGCCCTTCCGGTGTCCATGCGCAAGGTTGCAATTGAGTTTTGAACCCGCAACCTCATACCACAATGCGCATTTCCAACCAGTGCTCTAACCACTGAGCCACATTAGCATGAAGAGAGAGAATGAATGGCGCCACCCTGGCTGTCCACTCTCCATGTCTGCCAAATTGAGTCCGACTTTTTTTGGACCAGGTGTGTTTTGGAGACTCCAGAGTTGCGTAGCCAGAGTCTGCCAGACCCGTTGTTTTTCTGTGCCCAATTCAGTCACTAGGTAGGCAATTTCCCCCCCTCCTTCCTACTGTCTTCGCGAGACTTGGCCCGAATAAAATGCCCAGTCAGTATCGCTATAATCAGAGGCAACATTGCGCCAAGTACAGCGATGACAATGACCGGGCGTTCCTATTCGGTCAAGACGGCAGTGCACATTTTCCGCAGAGGTGGATTCTGAAGTGACGGGGATTCTTCCATTCTCTGGACCTCACTTCAGGATCTGCGTACATCCAGCCAGCCCCAGCCTCA